GGGGGGCAGCACGCACTTGCACCGTCCAGTCCAGGAGGACACGACACGACAGACCGTCCCGCACCGCACCGCCCGCGGCTCTCAGGAGTGAGGACGCCCCGCGACGGATGGCCGCCACAACTCATCCGATTCAGCCGTCGCGCATCACGTTGGTGTGGTGGTGGTGGTGGGGCCTTTCATTTTCGTTTCTGCTCCACACGACGCGCGCGGGGAGAGCGAGTCGAAATTGTGGAAGAGATGTATAAGTTTCCAGTCGGCGGCTGGCTGGCTGGCTGGCTGCAGAAGCCGCACGCCGCGCCGCGGGGACGTATGGCGGCCGTAGCTCACTCTGCCGGGTTGCTTCTGCCGATAATGGAATTCCGCGCTTCTGACTGACGAGTTTGTCATCTCGGCTACGCGGCATCTTGCCAGACGGGGGGAGGAGGGGGGGGGATGATTTAACGTTCTTGGAAACAGAAGACGCGGGTAAAGGTTTATTGAATGAAAAGCAGCAGGCAATAAGAAACTAGGAGCTGAGTGATTGCGGTAGCCGCTCTGGTGGCCTACGGGCGGCGGCGGGTGGTGGTGCAGTGATTGAATTTGGCCTCCCCCTCCCCTCCCCCCTCCCCCCTCCCCCACGCAGCGGCCGCGGCTCAAGTACCCACCCGTTTTGCTTTGACCTCTCCTTGTGCGTCTTGTTCGCCGCCGACGACGCGACGACCCCGTCCCTTGTCCATCCCCGCGGTTACTCCAGTAGCTCCAACCTTTCACAGCCAACTGGCCCTGAGCCACCCGTATCTTGGGCCCCACAGCCAAGTAGCCAGGCCCCAGTGTGGCCCACATCCTCTTGGCTTTGCTATTATTTTGTTCCACTTCTGGTTGTGTGCTCGTCGATGATTGACTCATCGGCTTCTTCTTTTTCCCGCCGTCCGCTTAAATTGCAATATCGACAGCGGCGGCGGCGGCGCCCTTTTCCCTCCCCGATTTGTAATTGCGCGCCCATTTTGGCGCGGCCGATTGCCCATTGTCTAGCAACACTTTCACTGCGGTGCCTCGCGCCGCCTCCTTTGCTGGACCTCCTCGCACCTACTCGGCCAACACCGCTGATTAAATGGCGCTCCTGATTCCTGCCCAGGGTGTTTCCCTTTTTTTTTTCAGGCCGTTTCTTTCCGACTCGTCGTGTGCGCCAGACAGAGGGTGTCATTATTGCCACCGCATTGCCAAATTACACACGAGTGCCGCCTGCTCCACCTCCACCCGTATCATCCCGGCCCTCGTATCATTTCATCCCCCCAAATGCCTCGATTCATTAGTGCTGCTCTCTCAAACTTTTGCTTTTCTTTGGCACCGTCCTTCGCTGGTCGCTGGTTGTCGAGGTGCGTTGTTGTACAGTCGACGCCAATAAGCTGTCTCTAAATCACACGACATGTTATAACGTTTCCCGGGCGCGGCGCCCATCTGCTTGAGCTGCGCCGTGTAGTACTGTATGGCGGGTGCGATGTATGTGAAGTGCACGGCGGGGGGAGTGAACACGTTCAGAGGTGTAGTTTGCGGTCACCTGAGTGTGACCACGAACAAGTAGTGCCCCGGCGAGGTGGGGCCAGGGGGAGGGGGGGGGGGCGTCACGGTTTGCTGGACCGTGCAGAAGCGTCGGCGCCGCGGTGCTGGCGCTTCCGCGCCTGGACGGGAGGCGGCGTCAAATCAGAATCAGAGAGAGAGAGAGAGAGAGAGAGAGAGAGAGAGAGAGAGAGAGAGAGAGAGAGAGAGAGAGAGAGAGAGAGAGAGAGAGAGAGAGAGAGAGAGAGAGAGAGAGAGGGGGGGGAGGGAGAGTAATCAATCTATCTCTGTATGCAGTGTGGTCTGGCGCGGTCTCGAGCAGCACACTGCTTGCAGATGATTTCAATTAAACTCGCGCAGATTGGGGATCTTTCTTGGCAACCGGTTGCAAGTGGCGGCGATACGACGTGCTCTTATAATGCCCGCCGCTCACCAAAGCTTTGCGAAGCAGGAGGAGTCTCCTCCTGCTCGTTTTGAAATTTCGCCCGCCAGCAAGTATCGGCCGGGCGTCGTGACCTTTCACCCGCACCCAGCCGTACGTACTACACGGAGGCCCCGGGCAGGACGCCAGGGCTCATAGCGCCGCGATTGCGCAAGCCGAAGACAATCGGGCGGCCGGTGTCTCCAGGGCAGACAGGGCGGGACGCCACCCGCGCCTCCGAGCACGTCATACCCACGCCAGCGGGCGACCGTCCGTTTTCGACACCCGCCTCGCGGTATCAGCGAAAAACGTGCGCCGGAGGCGCCTGTTTTGTTGTGGCTCTCCCCAACATTTTGGTAGGACCACCCCACGTCCCTCTCTTCCCGACCTGTGACCCCGATACGCTGCGTTTGGCGGCGGTGCGATGGGCTCCGCGCCTGCGCCGCGCGCAGGCGGCTCGAAGGAGGGCATCGCGGATCTAAAGCTAACTACTTCCAGTCCTGACGGCGTCCTGACCAGTCAGTATCCATCTGATGCGCGGCCCACTCACGTATTAATTTCTCGCGGATCGAGCCGCGCCGCGCTGTTGTGGCTGCGTCCGCTGCTTCCTGCTGCTGCTGCTGCTGCTGCTGCTGCTGCTGCTGCTGCTGCTGCTGCTGCTGTATTTGCTGCTGCACTTGCTCACTGATGGTCCCATCCGGTGCCGGGTGCAGTGTGTACCACCATCAGGAGCTGGCCCGCGGTGCATGCACTTCAGGAGTATCGGTCAGAGCAGAGCAGTCGTATGCGATGCGCGCGGAAGTTCAAAACTCTTATGGCATCGCAAATCACGCTGCCGTGCGCAGGAAAGCAGCAGCAGCAGCAGCAGCAGCAGCAGCAGCAGCAGCAGCAGCAGCAGCAGCAGCGCCCGGCCTGCCTATGGGCCTGTTAGGGGGGAGTCTAATCTCACTGCTGAGCAGGCGGCGGCCGATCCCGAGAGGAGAGTGGAGTGGACCCGCTGACCCACGCCGCTGCCACTTGGTGCTGCTGCTGCCGCTTCTGAAAAAAGTAGCCCCCCTTCATCAATAATTTACCTTGATGGCAATGTGCGCGCGCACGGTGGTGGTGCCTGTTCCGGCTCTGCAACCTGTTGCGGTCCGGTAATACCGAGCGCGTCGCCTGACGTGGCGGGGCGTGGCGGGGCGTGGCGGGGCGGGGCGGGGCG